CGGTCAGCGCAAAAACTGCTCTTCCTAGGGAGATGTCACCTTGGAGGTTACTAACAGCTTCATTCATTTGCTCGGCTGGGAGCTGTCTGGCGTGTCCTGCGCACGCACCACCTGCTGGCTGAGGCATACAAGTGCACTGAATCACATGGGCACGTCGCGTTTCGCGACATATTTATCGGGCGAACCTGCCTGTTCCCGCTCTGCTCACAGATCTCCAGCAGAAGGGGGGTTCCCGCTGCCTTCCAGCGGGGGTCTCGGCGAGGGCCCCGAGCGGAGAAGCCGGCCTCCCGAGGCGGCGCGGGGGGCGCGGGGGGGAGAGGCCGGCCTCCCGAGGCGGCGCAGCCCGCCGGCGCACTGACAGAAGCTCGCGCTCCCTCGCTCGCTCCTTCTCCTCCTGACCTTACGTCTCTCCTCTGATTATAGACGGTCTGCACCTCACAGTAATTTCTTAGTAGATCAAGCCATCGTTCACTTTCTAGACTCCATTCCCATTTTAGCAGACTGACCTGAAATAACAGGTCATTTGACAAATGCAAAGGGAAAAAGATGAGAGTAGAAACACACAAAGATTTTAACAGAAGAAGAGACAATGACTTCGCCTTTTGATTAGTAAGTTACATATTGTTTTCTGCGCATCAAGAACAAAGCTATCTGGTCACTCAGGAAAGAGAGCACATGCTGAATAAACATGTATCCAAAAAAAGACCTTATGCAGTTCATTGCAATGCATTCAGTCTCTGTTTGTTAGTGATTTTAAGCCAAAATGTGATGATTATCGCTAGAAAAAATGAAGGTAGCAGAGATGGAAAATGGGCATAATTAGGAAATCTGCTTATGAACTAACAGCAATACTATTTGTGTTATGCATAAAATTAATATTTTATTCAGCTGGGAAAAGTTTGTTATAATAATCACTCAAAAATTTGCAAACATTTCATTACAATAAGGCAGCTAGTATAAACATGACGATATTATGTCAGCTTAAAAATTTGTTTCCAAAAACCAGAGCTACAGAACTTATTTTTTTCCTGACAGCACCTCATTTGAAAATGTGCATATACTGGATGAAATCTTGACCTTTTCAAAATTCAGTGGCAGCTCTGGAATCCTGGCTCTGTTGAAGCTGACGGCACCCACAGTATCAACACTGCTCCAGGTCCATAATAGATCTGTTTGGGCAATTTCTGACAAAAATATCTGTTAAGAAAAACATTCTGTTCAAAACAAATTTTCTGTAGAAAAATGCTAAATTTATTAAGCTGTGACTGGTAAAGTTTTTTTTCTGAGATACAACATCTGGTCAAAATGGGAGACAGATGCACTCCAGAACAGTCAATGATTTGGTGATGAGGACATGGCATGGGCACATGAACCAGGTTTTAAGTGTCCACGCTGGTTGCTGCAAACTACACTCTGGAAAATGGATGCAAGTCAACGCTACTGATTGCTCAAAACGTCTTATAAATCTGAGATTTTCATACCCAGCTCTACTCTCCACTACTTTCAGGCAAAAAGTCCCAGTGAAGACAGCCTCATGGAAGTAGTTAGTGACTACCACTTTGCTGTGAGATGATTTCTAGTAAGGAAAACCTATTTCGCCTTGACTTGTTCCAGTCCCTGCCTTGCTGCTCAAACTGAACGGAAAACTTCTGCTTACCACTTTTAAAATTGGTAACACTTCTCTTATTGTTACACTTCCTCCTTTTCATTATTTTGTAGATTTTAAAGTATCTGCATACACAATTATTAGCTAGCGATAATTATGCAGCTGTGCTGGGAGTAGCGCATACATGAATCCTTAAGAACCTAAAAGGCTGCACTGACATATTCTAAAAACACAGGCAGTTATTTTTAATACAGCTCACCCATAAATCACTTATTCTTCACATATATCCCACTGGAAATATTAATTGCAATTAATTACAAGCCCTCTTTCTGCCAATCCATAGAAAATACTACTGTCAGCCTACACCCGTGCTATGACACGGGCTTCTTTGCTTAAACATTACAACCCGTGATACTGTGTCTTGTGCTGCTCAGTCACCTCCTTGTACATCGGCCAAGAAGTAGCTGATACGCAATCCAGTTGTAAGAGTTTGGCACAGGTTCTGTTTTGGACAACAGAGATTGGAATTTCTTTCTCTGAGAAAATTCTGTTTCTAAATCATGTGGCAGTTTCACAGAACATAAGAAGAGCCAAAGCCCCAAACCAAACTAAAACCCAGTTCAGAAAGGTCACAATATTCTGACAATAGCGAGCACCACACTTCATGTGCCTATAATATGGCAATGCCTCCTGCCCTCGTTCCTTCCCAGAGGGCAGGGTCCCTGCTAGACTCCACTTCCTATTTCATTTTGTTTAGAAAACAATCAGCCGACTGGAGCTGCTCAGAGGTCGAGAATGTCAATCTCCCGGCAAAAAACGACTAGTGGACAGACTGAAGGGGAAACAGTCAAAACTGTAACTTTTCAAGCAGATACCGGTATGTATAAGTATAATGTATAGAAACCTTTCACAAAAGCAGACTATTTTGAATAAATGCTTTGCTGTGCCTCTTTATCAGTTCTGTTTCCAAAGTACTGGCACCTACTACAAACAAAACCCATTGTACATTTTTTCCTCAAATTAAGCAAACATAAATATAAATAGACAGTAACCTGAAGCACTGCTGTTGGTATATAATATATTGGCATATATTAATCAGTTACTGGTATATTAAATTCTGAAGTCTTTTACAATGTAAACAGTTAAAATTGCTGGTGGAAAAGGCAATGCTAACTTTCTTGAATCAGCTATACTGTAACTCATGATCTATGTTTAAAAAAAATTCACAGAGCAAAACTTACTGAATTATATGTATTTTTTTTTTTAAAGTAGGATCAGAAAGTATTATATATACTGTCATGAGATCAAATCATGTTTGTGGCTGGAACTAACACTTTCAAAACATTCAGAATTTTTTTTTTAAGGCTCAACTTTCTAACCTGATGTTTTAACAGATATCTGCATATAGACATACATGCATGTCACCACTGAAACCAAAGAAAGAGCAAATGATCTTTATCTGAAAAGCCTAGAAGACTTTACAAGAAGAAATGTTTGACATGAAGATCTGATTTGCTTGTCTATTTTAACACTGATTGAAACTGTTCATCTCAGAAGGTCTTGCTTTTGTAGAAATTTCTCAATAAGCTGTTAAATATCTGTGGTAGACTTTCAAAAAAAAATACCCATCCATATCTGATCAAAAGATGAAAGTTAAATATAATTTATAAACTGGATTTATTATCTTTCAGTTTTACTGTTATACATACAGAAGGTATATATATGACCATCTTTATTTAAGAAAAAAAAAAAGAAAAATGAAAAAAAGGATGACTGGAAAATTAGTATTATTCTAGGCTCACAAGCACCAGGAGAGTTTCAAGATTTAAGAGAATAAATTCTTAATACGTCTTTGCTATCACTATAATTAAAAAGTAATGGCAAGCAGCTGAGATAAAATATTTCTTTGTTAGAGGTCCAGATTTCCTCATCTTTTCATTAAAGGGTATATGCAATTTTTCTGCTTTTCAAAAAAGAATAGAAACACTCAGGGATCAGACACCTGTTATTCTTTATACTTGTAAGGTTAAAACAACAACAACAAAAAAAAACACCTTGGAGAAAAGAAGGAGAGTAAAATTACTCACTTCTACCAGTCTGTGCCAATTTCACTACATGTACACACTCATAAAGAAGCAAGAAAAGGTACAGACCAAATTTTTCTCTTTAAGCCTAATCACTGTCATTTAAAGTTGCAGAAGAACAATGTGCCCATGAAAATTTCTTTACAAAATACATAAACTTGGGTCCACAGTTCTCTCATAGAAATACATATACAGTTTTATTCCTGTCCTTAGCTGCCATTAAGGCAATTTTTTCTCTTTGGCTAGGACACTCTATCTCTGAATGTGGACAAAGTGAATGTGGATAAGGGCTCACCATGGACTTTAAACATGGTACACTATGTGAAATTGGTCTAATAGTGAGAAAGAAAAGGGTTGGAATTTTCTGTTGTTTTGGATGTTTGCATATTAACTACAATATTCAGGATTACATACATTCAATCATTTACTAAAAATCTCAAAATAAAAGCTACTACTTCACAATTCAAATAGCAATGCATCCTGCAACATTACCTCAATACCCTAATTTTCAAGCCAGATATTTCAGATAGCTTGCATAGTTATAAAAGACTGATTCCAAGGCAGTTTTACTCACACAATGTGTGAGATATGAAGTATCTGCCGTAGAAAGGGACAGAAGGCCAGCGCGTTCATCATAGTAAGACAGTTCTGAGGAGCTACCTCAGAATACATGGAGAACAGCAATGCTGTTCCAGCTCACATTTGCTGCTGTAGCACCCACCAGCTTCACACCACTCGCAGTCCTGCACCTACATCACTGATCCTTTCCCACAGTGAGCTGCAGAGTCCTGGAGCACGCATGAAGAGCCCCCTGCATAATTCTCTTTCATCTTGCACGACAGTGCAAAACATTTGAGCTCTTCTGGTCCACAGATATTCCCAAAAATCCATGAGATTTTGGCTCTATAGCTCACGTTTGTTTTATACCAATAGACAAGTAGGTAAGTGGAAGGTCCTCTGCATACGGCAGCATACTATATATATACACAAAACTGGGGAAAGATTTTGTACTACAATGCCATTTTGAGCTACTGTAGACCAGACACTTCCAACACAATGTGACTTCTACTAAAAGCCAGTACTTCCAAACGTCACCTCTTTTTGTGCCACGATCGTTATTTTAAGGAAGGTAAAGAATGGAGGATGATTTTAAAACAAAGGTCAGGCAACAACAGAGTGAAGAATCCCATAACCTTAAAAATAGGATATTTTGCATATATACCCACAACAATTATCTATCTGCAGGCTAAGAATTACCGAAGAAGTAATTACCGATAAATTTACTATAATTCAAAGTTTAAATTAACTACCTTCAATGCTCTGTGGCCCAACCAGGTTCATAGCCTGGTGTGCTGGATATTCTACTCGGGGTCTGGCAATGCCTAGTTGTTCCATAACTCCGTGGAGGAGCCTCTGAATATCTGCTTCAGAAACCCTATCGGGGGTCCTAGGGCTGTGACTAAAAGCTGAAGCCAATCCAAATACCAGCAGAAATACCATGTTACAAAGCAAGGTAGTTGCCATTCTGGTAGCCTCCTGTCACCTGTGAAGAAGAGAGGAAATTGGTTATAAATGATAATAGAAAAAACCCTGCAAGCATGCTGGAAATAACTCTTCTGATTTTACTGTGATTACACTCCACAGCTTCCAGTATCAGTTGAAAAGGTGTGGGGTGGAAGAAAACAGAATGGGGAGGTTCTTTCTTTCTAAAAGATAAGGGAGGAGGAGGTTACAGAAATCGCTCAGTTTTCCGATTAGCATTTGCTCATAACAATTATTAACCAACCCTTGCAAACAAAATGGGTCCACTGATTCACTTAACGAAACGTATGTCCCTCCTCCCCATCTGTTTATCCTATTATTTTATCAAGTTCTGGGCTGAATGCAGAGAATTCTTCAGATGGAAGCTGTGTTTTCCAAGCTATGTTCTTGCACTGTCTCCAAAATGAAGCACTAGAAATTGCTAACCAAGCTGAAAAATATTTTTATTTCTCCCTTTGACAAGAAGTTATGCACTCCGTATGCATCATCTTCCCCACCTGAAGCAAATAGGTTTCACTTGCTCCCATTGAATACTTTTCACTAAACGATTGCTCTGCATAGTTTAAATAGGCACAAAATCCAACAACCACCATTTACTGCTCTTTTTACAAGGCTGAATTTTAATTAGAGTTATTGTTTCTAACAGCTTGTTTTCCCCTCGTGTCATATAAAAATTACATTCCCCCCCCCAAAAAAACCCCAAACAAATAAAACCCCCAACCCCCAATTTTCTTCCTTGAAACACACACAGATCTACCTGATTTCCTCAAGCGAGACATTTAAAGATATTCTACCGTTATCATAATCTCATACAATGCACCTTAAAAGGACTTCGAGGCAAAAATGGCAGAAAAATCCTCTTAAAAATAATGCTGGGAATATTCTCCTTTATGCCTGTGCGTGGCTCCACCATGCCGCACATCCCTGCTTTATCATTCTCCATAGGAGATACCTGCGCATAGGAGATACCGTCCACCTTTTTTGTTTAGAGAAAAAACGCATATTTTTCACAAACATCGGTTAACGTAAAAGAGCAGGTCTGCGGCTCCTCTGCTGCCCATACCTCTCCGCAGCACCACCAAAGCGGGAATTTAACCTCTCCTCCTCCTCCTCTTGCCCCCCTCCCCCCAAATACACCCCAAGCAACTCACCCCAGCG